ACACAGACAGACAGACAGACAGACAGACAGACAGACAGACAGACAGACAGACAGACAGACAGACAGACAGACAGACAGACAGACAGACACACACACACACACACACACACACACACACACACACACACACACACACACACACACACACACACACACACACACACACACACACACACACACACACAGTATTAATAAACTTAATGTGTCAGGGTGTGTAGATACAAAATGTAAAATGATTTAGTTATCAGTTGGGGAAATGAGTTCCCTGTCAATAGTGTATTTAGTTCTTTGTTAGCAGTGAATTTACCTGACAATTGTTAAATTAGTTTCTTGCAAAACGTGATATTAGTTTCCTTTTAGTGCTGGAATTAGTTCCCTATAAATAGTGAATTAAGTCCGCTATCAATGGGGTAATTAGTTCCCTGTCATAAGTGGAAATGGTTACCTATTGGAGGTGGAATTACTTTTCTGACAACAGCAATTAGTTTCAATTCAATAGTGAAAACTATTTCTTGAGAGTGAGACAATTAGATCCCTGTAACTGAGGAACAGTTCCCTTTAGGGCACCGCAATTCCCGTTCAATCAGGAAATTCAATGTCGGTTATGAAATAAGTTCATTTTCTGTAAATGAATAAGTTCCCCGTTAGTAGTGAAAATAGTTCTGAATTCCCTTTCAGATGTTACATTATTCCCCTTTCAGCTTTAAAATGGTCTGTTGGTGGTGAATATGTTTTATTTAGGTTGAGACCCAGGTCCATTTAGTTGGTAAAATAGGCAGCTACCCTTGAGGAAAGACCTCGGCGACATTCTGAGTTGAGCAGCCAATGAAGAGCAGCGGTGCGGAGGACAGGATGCAGAGGAAGATGGCCGCGGTGCAGAGTTTACTGGCTCCGCCCACCGAGAGACTCAACCTCCGCATCAGGACGCCGCCGAGCACGGTCCCCAGCACCGCCAGCGGGATGCAAACTCCTCCTGATGGAATCCAGAAAACACAAATTCCATATTTCAGTTGACTGGATATAACTTTAATGGTGGCTGTTTTTACAATGCTCCAAATAGTAGTAGTAGTACAAGCCACTAATTTCACCATTGTAAGGGAACACATTTTACTAGAGACAGGGAGCTTATTTCCCTACTGATAGGTAACTCATTTAACGGGTTGGTAATTATAATTTTGTAAGGAAACCAGTTTCACTTCTGACCGGGAACTCATTACACTACTGTTATGAAACTAATTTAGGAGGTAATTTCACCCCTCAAGGTTCCCGATGTCATACAAACTAAATAACTTTCTCTGAAATGTAATACTTGTGGCTCTTACTGGTGTGATGACTGCAGACAGAGATGGTACAGTACAACAGTACACACATCGTTTACTCAAGTAGAAGTACAGATACTCGTGTTTAAAAAGTAGAAGTACTGACTGAACTTCTTTACTCAAGTAAAAGTAAAGAGGCTTTGAAATGTACTTCAGTAAAAAGTACCCATAACTAGCAGCTGTTTTAAAGAGTACCTGACCTCCCTTTATATTAATAGAACAATAATGTCATTGTTAGCTAATGAATGTTTCCATGGTGACCAACGGCAACATGACAACGTTTCCATTGGTCCCTCTTCTTTAGAGAAGACCAGGAAATGATGGATACACGGATCGTGTTCAAATCAATAGGCACGCAATGACTCTAAATAATAATGATCACGCCACCAAACACACATTCAGACTAAAGGAACCAGCCTGTTTGGAAAATGTGAGAAGTAGAAAGTACAGGTATTTGAGTTCAACATGTAAGAAGTAGAAAGTACAGGTATTTGAGTTCAACATGTGAGAAGTAGAAAGTACAGGTATTTGAGTTCAACATGTAAGAAGTAGAAAGTACAGGTATTTGTGTTCAACATGTAAGAAGTAGAAAGTACAGGTATTTGTGTTCAACATGTAAGAAGTCAAAGTAAAAAGTCATCAGAAAAATAAGTATTGGAGTAAAGTACTGATACCAGAAAAATGTACTTCAGTACAGTAACAAAGTATTTGTATTCCAATACTTCCCACCTCTGCCTGCAGACCAGTGTGCTCTCTCACCTATCATCATGACGGAGAAGGAGACGGTCTGAGTGAACTGTCTCTCGATGAATTTGGACATGAAGGTGGCGAGGCCGGCCAGCAGCGCCGCCAGGTTCACCTGAGCCAGAACCACCAGCAGGTAGATGGGGCTGCGCAGTGTCCGCAGGGCGATACGAGGGAAACCTGAGGAAAAGAGGGAGGGAGGGAGGAAGATGGTGATGATGATGATGATGATGATGATGATGGTGATGATGATGATGATGATGATGATGATGATGATGATGGAGAGGTTTAGCCATAAAAGTCAAAGCCAACTTTATTGTCAATCTTTCAGTTTGTGTGTTGTTACGACCCTGGTCGTTATGTGTATTGTGTGTAGAGATTTTTCCCTCCTCCTGTGTCTGTGTGTGTGTGTGTGTGTGTGTGTGTGTGTGTGTGTGTGTGTGTGTGTGTGTGTGTTTGTTTGAGTTTGACAGATAGTGTGTGTGTGTGTGTGTGTGTGTGTGTGTGTGTGTGTGTGTGTGTGTGTGTGTGTGTGTGTGTGTGTGTGTGTGTGTGTGTGTGTGTGTGTGTGTGTGTGTGAGCAAGCAGGTGGTGCCCGTTAGCTGATTAGCTACCTTCAACAGGCTGATTGGTTCACCTGAAGAAGAGGGGAGCATTTAAGCTTCAGCCATGCCGTCACTCTGCCCTCTCTCTGACTCAGCTTCTCCTGCTCCCAACTGTTGCGTATTTGTATCTGTCCTTTTGTACTTCTGTCCTTGAATATTTTGTAAAACTTGAAAGGCTAGACATAACTTTAATCTGTCCTTGTTGGACACGCCATAAGTCTACGTGAAAGTTTGAAACCCTTTTCCTTTTGGTTGATTCTCGTTTTCTCCTGTTTTTACGTCAGAAAAAGAGAGAGTGCACATTTCATGCTTCCCTTAGATCTGGGCGTAACAGTGTACAGACAGAGAGATCAAAATACCGTTTCCCACAATCCCGAGGAATACAAAATACAAATATGTATACAAATATGGATATACATATATATACACAATCAACAGACACATTTGTACATATGCACACATTGAAGGCCGATACTAGCAGGAATATTAACCCATTTTCTATTCCCAGTAGTTTCAGGTTTCAAGCCTTTATCACTAGTGCTCAGCAGCTACAGTGTAGATATAGCAATGAAAAACTGAAGTCCTCCTCCAACAGAGCAACACAGTGACCTCTGCTCGATGCCCTGCAGTTGCCTCCGCTGCAGACAGGAAGCAGAAGGGAAATAAGAGTCTTACTTTTGAGGAACTGGAGGAGAGATGTTTCCGAGTCAGTCTGCTGAAGCTGCTGCTTGCAGTCCGGCGCCGACTCCACGTCCTCGTCCTCGTCCTGCACAAATATGGAAGCAGAACGTCTCGTTATTTCCCGGCAGGTCTAAAAACCCCTGAGTCTGCAGCTGAAGGTTTACATTAACAGCTCTAAATGACACTTCAGATAAATGTGCATGCTGCAGAATGTGGTCTGTGTTATGAACTCTGCGTACCCAGACATACATCATAGTTTCTTTGGTGAAAGCAGGTTACTCATGAAACAGGCATGTATTTAGTAAATGGCTTAAAGGCTCACATACTACAACATGTTAGTTTTCAGAATGCTAGTTTTGTTAATACTGCCACTGTAGAGGACTGAATATTAAAAACGACATACTATATGTTATGTGGTTTACTCAATTGTTTACAGTGGAGGGTCTGTCAATACATAGACAACACATTTATTTGAATGCATAAAAAACCACCAAAAGATGTCCCTTTCCTAAAAATATTATAAATTAATATTTGTGTCAAAATTCTGTTCTGATTAGTAACCCTAGTTTAAATTATACTTTTAATGCTACTTGTGTTTTATAGAAAGACAAAAATGTACACTTTATATTGCAAATTAAATGATAAGGGGATTTTTCTAAATGTTCACAATCAGGGATACTTCAATAATTTCCGTAAAAAAAGAAATTGAATTCAGATTAAAAATAAGAAATACACTTTTTAAATTATTATATATTGATATTTGTTTCCACTAATGTTGTGTGTCCGCAAAGAAACCCATCACTAAAAGCATCTTACTCATGAAACAAGTACTTCATTAGTTGTTGGGTTGCCTAAAAGCTTTTCTGGTAAACATTCACATGCTCAGAACTTAAATTTGAGTCGGACCTCAGTCGGTCGGCGGGCCTGACATGGTGGTCCAAACGAGAATGTGTGTGTAGGCTTCTCTTCTGTTTACGGCTGGATTTTTAACCTCTGATCAAACACAGAGCCAGGAGCCGAGCCTCTCAGTCGATCAGATGATTTACGACCAAACAAAGGTTAGGGTTCATCTGTCAGGTAGGATCAGCGAGCCCCAAAAACCAGACCCCAAGACCTCAACAAAATAAGAGCATTGAGCAAATGATCTGTTTCTTCATTGTTTATCTTTGTCTAACGGGTTGTTCTTTGTATTTTTGTGTTTTCTTTGTCTTTACATGTTTGTTTGGTCTTTTCATGGTTGTATTGCCTTTTGGTGTTTTTAGTCAGAAGTGTTCACTGCAGATGATTCTGTTTGAGTTTGTGGAGGAGTGCTGGCCACGACACAAAGAAAACATTCAACTGCAAAATAAAAAATGAAGGCGTGATGCCAGCGGGTTGCTCAACATCTTATTATCTGATACGACTCCCTGCGTTCAAACAGAAAGCTGCCAAAGTCCAGAGCTTTATCTAACAGCAGAGTGAGGCCAAGCTTTCGATTTCAGATCCAGCTCCTATAACGTCTTATTTTCAGACCAGTGGAATGAAAACCTGAATATCTTTGTCTGTTTCTGTCGGCAGATTTCTCCTAAACTCACCAAAAGTGAGCATTAAATAACGCCTCATATGCATATTTAAACATATGTCAGAAAACGTATAATATAAAAAAGGATTGTGTTCATGTCAGCAATGAAGTGGTGAAGTTTCATGGTGATATCTGTTCGTTACATTTTGTACCCTATCCACCCGTAGCGATTGTTTTGTAAAATGAAGTTAACCTCATTCTGGGACAAAAGCAGACGAATAGATATGTGAAAAAACATTTAAAGAATTCTCAGGTTGTTATCTGATCAGACCTCTGTCTGCAGAGCGGAGTGCGACAGGTGTGTTATCTGATAAATCTGAGAATGTTTGCACAACATGCAGCAGCCTGCAGGCAATCCAAGAATCACCTGGAGTAACATTTGCAAAGGAGGTCATGTTTGGAAGATTTGGGAGAAAAAATATTATGGTTTTCCTGTAAATTGTGAAATTCAGGTCACATCTAGAAACTCATGATGACTTTTTGGATTGTTAATAATACCAGTCCGGTGGTTGCAGTACAGAACCCAGAGATATATTTACATTAATATGATTTAAAATGGAGAAACATTACTTAGAGGATTTAGCTATTCAATTAAAAAACGTTTCTCTGTATCTGCCTAAAGGAAAGAGCCACAGTCTAACTGTTGATAATCAGACAGCTTTAGGTTCCTGGGAGTGGGAATACTTGTTTGCATATTCATTTAAAGGGGCCCTATTCTGCAACATGCAAGCATACAACTTCATCATCATCATCATCATCACAAAACATTATGCAGCTGAGAGCATCGTATGGTGGACGGACAAAGCTTGAATATATTTGGCTGGTTTCAGGACCAACACATTACTGTGTCCGGTCCCGGGGTCTAAAAGAGAGATGTGGGGGGACAACTTTAAATCAGGTTTTTGTGTTTAAAAATGAAAGTGTTGTTGCTGTCGGCTGTTTTCTCTCACGTTATTTTAGATGGGAACAATGTTGAGCAATACTTCACCTCATGAGTTTGATAGAGCATGAGCTGATGAACCCTTTAACTTTGCTTTGGGGACGGAGCCAGAGACATTCCTGTAGCAGCTTGTTAAGATGAGCCCTTTTTATATTTTGCATCCTGTTTGTCCTGATTGTTTTTGATTAAACTTTATTATTCTGAAACGTATTCTTTGTTTTTATCAAACAAACTTAAATAACCTTTTGGTGTCTATCTGAGTTGGGAAAACACTGAATGTCCTCTTCCAACATGAGAGCAACATGCTAACAAAGGTATCAACTGTAGCTGTGAACATGACAGGATGTGTGATTACCTAGAAGAGCATCAGGACTGTTTGAGGCATATGATAGCTATGTGATTAACATGATGATTCAGCCTCTATGGAGAGAGACATATGACAAGCATGCTCATTTCTGACGTGGAGCTAATCTGAAGTAAACATTGAATACTGCTTTGTATTCCTCCATCTTGTGACTGTGTAACTCCCTCTCTTGGATATCAGCATGTGAAGGACACTGTTCAGGAACTAGTTGATGCTCTGTATGTGATGACTACTTCCATTCTGGAGAGGATCACAGATACATGGATCCTGAGGTTGAAGCTCAAGCCGGGGACCAGGGAGATTTTTCTAACAGCCATGTTTATGTTTGCAGGGCACATACATTGAGTATGTTTAATCCCTAAAGAGTGACCTATGAAAGCAGCCTGACCTTCTTGATGTGGACGAGCTGGCGGATGTCCATGTCGTCGTCACAGTTGCGGACGTCGGGTCTCACCGTCTGCACCACCTGCCGCACGACGGGCACGATGATGTCCCGCCAGGATAGAGACAGAGACTCGCTGTAGAGAAGCTGCTGCAGCAGAGCCATCATGTGGCTGTGGTTGGCCGAGCTGCACAAAGAGAGGTGTCAAAGTCAAAAGTCAAGTCAACTTTATTGTCAATCTTTCAGTTTGTGTGTACAGACAGAGAGATCGAAATGCCGTTTCCCACAATCCAGAATACAAAAATATAAAAATATGTTTATCCTATATATACACAAGGTGGATGAATAGATGAGGATAATATTAAATCAGTAGTTTTTAAAAACAGTTACGCCCATGTAAACCTTTCAAATTTAGATTTCTAAAGTTACTATCATGTTGGATGTATTCCTTTGTAAATGTACATTTACTGTTTGTTATTTTCTCTGTGCAGACGACATGTTATCCAAAGTGTGGATATAATTATTACTATAATTACCAGTTTTCTGGTCATTTAAAGGGGACCTATCATGCAAAACTCACTTTTGTACGTCTTTTATACATGAATATGTGTCCCCAGTGTTCCAGAGAACTCACCAAGTGTCAGAAACACAACCCTCTCTATCT